ATTTCCCTCGTGCTTCACTCAAAAGGCTGGATTTGAAAAGGGAAAAATTGCAAAGTGGGTTTGTTGGATTATTTTTTTTTCCCCCTTTACGGGCCTGGGTTGCGCCACACTTGTTCCTCAGTGCCCCGAGAGTATTTACAGAAATAATTGCCAAAGTCAGAATCCACCTAAAAACCGGTGAACCGAGGCATTTGAGGTGAGAGCTTGGCGTGGAGGGAGCGGGATGTTGGAAGCCATGAGAAGAACCACTTCACCCAGATCCTGCTTTCACGGAGAAATTCGAGGCGCCCGAGACCACCCGTGTGTGCAGTGAGAAATCCCAAGATGGAGAAGGATGATGGGGAGCAAAATGCCCGGTGAATCCTAGAAACCGAGGTGCCAGTTGTGGGCTGGAAGATGGGTAGGAATGTAGGAGTGGTGAGTTCAGCTTCCAGGGCTTTTTGTCGTGCTCAGCAAACTTTGTTCTTGGGCCGACACGGGGCTGTGGAGCGGGCCAGGGCTCGGCACCGCGTGCGTAAGCATTTTGGGAAAAGGGAAATTATGAGGAATTCTGGCAATGCCCGGCTGGAGGTGGGGCAGCATTACAGCTGCAGGGAGGCAAGGGGGCGGGGGGAAAAGCTATGGGGCAAAGCTGGGCTTTTGGGATGGTTTGGCTTTTAGTCACCGCCGGCATAACAAGGCTTGGAGCCTTCTTTTTTTTTTCAAGCCTTGACTTGGAACCTTCAGAGGAAATGCTTGCCCTGAGCAGGTAGGAAGGTTCTGACTCAAGAGAGGAAAAAAAAAATAAAAAATAACATTTGTTACCTTAAGAAAAGCCCTGACTTCTTGTTTTTAAGAAGGTGTGAAGCACGGTGGTTGGGAGGCTGAGGAATTCTGAACGTGGATGGATGCAGCAGCGTGTGTGGATTTGGCACAGGAGCGGTTTCGGCGTTGGCCCCTTTCCTCACGGCTCTCCCAACCAGCGGTGCTCCGCCACCAGCAAAGATCACTCCTCTCCTCGCTCAGCTCGTGCTGGGTTTCAATTTGCTGCCTCTCTCCTTTTTTTTTGCATATTCATTAGAAATCTGTTGCAGTTTTCTGTTTCGTAGAAGCACTTTCCTTTTACTTTTAACGTCCTCCCTCTTTTCTCCCGTTACAGCGGGATCGGGGCAGGTCCTCTGCGCCCTTCTTGCTTCTTAAAACCACCCTGTGCACCCCCAAACCCTAGTGCTAAACCAAATCTAATCTTCACCATTAATAAGTAAGTGGAAATGCTTATCTTCGCCGGCGAGATAAGGCGTTTTGGCCTCGCAATTCATTTTAACTTGCTTCTGAATGGGAGGATTTAGTTATAATAGATGGCGGGCGGTAGTTGGGTGACAGTGACTAATGCCCGATGACCAGGCTGGGGAGCTGGGGTGGAAAACTGCTGCGTTGTCATGCCCTGACCACTGAAAGTAAAGCAGTTCTGGATGGCCCTTGCTGCTAGCACTCTGTCAATCGGTTTCTTAATGACTCTCTTACAGAATAAAAGCAAAAACCTCCTGGAAAGCTTTTTTTTTTTAAATCTGTCCCTTCCTTGTTTCATTTACTGTGTTTCTCCCCTGCCCCCCCCCCCTTGTGCTGTCTCTGGTGTTTTGCTTCCTCCTTCTCCCTTTGCTCTCACACCTCGTCCCTTCTCCACACTTGATTTTTTTTTTTCCTGCCCCTCCTGACTGCTGCTTTGGAAATACACCGCTTATTTTCCAATCCAGACCATTAATCTTTGTCCCACCTACTCATGAGGCATGAAGGTTTTACAGGAGCCCATTAGCTGTTATCTCCAGAGCTGCCCTCCCGCAGACTGGCGGGGAAAACCGAGGTCTGGCAGCAAAGTGCCTTCTTGTGGGGACACCGATGGCTTTTTTGGCATCGACCTCAGGTTGTAGGTCCCAGATTTCCTATCTGCCTGCCTCCGCCCTACAAAAACACCAGAAACCTTCAAGCTCCCCCGTGTTTCCGCCCAGAGGAGAGGAAATTTTGCTTTAAAATGCCTCTTATCCCAGAGGCGGCTGGAAGGGTGGGTTGTCCACAACCCATCCTGTCCTCCCTCTTTTCTGCAGCTCCACGGGGTTTGTCCCTTCTTCCAGTTTGGCTGCTGCTCTCTGGATGTTCAGATCAGCAGCAGGGCACGGGGAAGAAGAGAGGGAGGAAGGGCTGTCGGAGCCATTAGGAGGGTGAAAGTCTGGATCCTGCAGCAGAGTGTGGCAGGCTGTGCTGGGAGGCTGGGGGTGGCTGGCAGGATGAGCTGGGCTATAAAGGGAGTGTTTTTCTTAGCCCTCAGCACTGCTGTCTTGCACCGCTGCAAATTCCTAACGTACGTGTGCTGTACCATTGGTATTTTTCTTAAAAAAAAAAATATATATATTATTAACTTTCACCACTACTCTTTGCTTCTAGTTTCAAAACACGCTTTGAAGGCAAACGCTTTCAGGGGGGCTGTATACAAACAACGTCTTTTTAGCCTTTGTTTATTTGAGGGTATTTGGGGCACTGAATATCCCTAAAATCCATTTTCTGCCCTGTTTTGCCCGCGCTTGCAGAGATCAGTGCTACCTGTGACTATCTGACCCAGCCTACCTATCATTTTAGCTTGTTTTGGGGTTGGGTTTTTGTGTCTATATACATGCATGCTCACATCTCATCCCCTTCCAGGCTTATTTTTTTTCCTCTTGCTGTTTTCCTTCCGTCTGTCCTGCACCTTGGAAGGTTTCCAGCCGGGCTGGGTGATGGGGTGGCCATCCCCTGATCTATCAATACCCCCATGGTTGTGTCCCCCCCCTCCCCAACCGAGCCCTGGGGGACACAAGGAGGAAGAGGAGGGGGGGAAGCTCGATGCCAGCAGCCTGCAAATGCTGCCTTGTTTATGAGAGCTCGGTGCAGACTGCAGTCCTACCGGGGGGAGCTGGGAAAGTTTGTCTGGCGTAAAAGCACTAAAGCTGACAAAAGATTGTAGGGCTTGGGCTGTAATCGATAAAATTCGGGGTATTTTAGAAGGTCAGGGTCCTCCCCGAGTTCATCCTGCTCTTTAAATATCCCGGTGGTTACTGATGGCTGCTGCAGAGCTTGGATGTGGAGAAGAACAACCCGGGCTTCAGCCCTCGGAGAGTTTCTGCTTTTATTTATTTGGAGGTGGATCTCGTTCCCCTCTTTCTAGAAGGTGGCTGGTTTTTGGGGACGCAGGGAGGAGGAGGAGAAATTCCCTCGTGATAAAGGGGAGTTGCAAAATGGCAACCTCCATCTGCTGGTCTGGGAAACGTGCGTGTGCCCGGTGTTGCTGCGGCTCTTGAACTCCTCTGCCTTAATGGGTCAAATTTGAGCAATTCAAAAATCTGGCTTGTGAGGTAATTAGGAGGGGATAATGCCCACTTCTTCCTCTTAACACCCTGATAGAAAAGCATCCAGGAAGGACTCCTGGACCTCAAAGATAAGCTGCCAGCTGCCACAGAGACTATCAAAGGGTGGCTCAAAGTCAAGAGCAAACAGCTGATTTTTTATGGTTCTTGGGTTTTTGCTGTTGGTGACAGGAAGCCATGTTCCCCAAGCTGTTTGCTTCCTGTTTTATTTTTACACCCGGGGCCGAACAGCTCAGCGTGCCTCTCACATGGGAGCTGGCTCTGCTCTGGGGTTCTTCCTCAGCTGACCTAGAAAAGTGATTCTTTCCCCTTCTAAATTAATCAAGAACTTGGGAATGTATTTGCTTTCACTTAGTCTTAGAGGATTTCAGGCGTGTATTGTGCTCCTCCTTCGAGCTGTTTCCCGTTCCTTCCTCTCTCTTGGAGATGGACGATCTGAGACGAAGCTGTTTGTTGCTTCAATGTTTCAGCCTGTTAGAAAAAGAGATTTTTTTTTGTTAGTTCAAGGCACTGACCCGCACATAAAAGCGTTTTCTGTCCAAAGCATAACTTCCGGACACTTATGTTTTCTTCTTTTTATTTTTTTTATTTTATTTTTTTTAAAAAAAGACCGGACTGGAAGTTTGTCCTGACTCTGGTACAATAAATCTTGACTTCTTTCTGAGCGCGCTCTGGCCCCGCATCCTGATTAGAGCTCCCTCAACGGTTCAAAACTGCTGGAGCAGGAAAACAATGGTCCAGTGTAAACCTGGGCCCCGGGGGATTTCCCGAGGGAAGAGGGGTGCAGCCTGCAGGATAAGGAACAGGCACCAGAAAGTTTCCTGGTCAGCTGCAAGCCCTTCCTGTTGTTTCAGGAGAGCCCCGTCCGTCTCTCTTGTTCCAGGAGAAAGGCACCGCTCACCCTTTGGTTGGAATTAGCTCTTGTTTGGGGTGTTTTTTTTTTTAACATCCTCTCAGTTTAAGCAAAAAACTATCGATTGGGGGTTTAAAATATTTCTCCAGAAGAGCTTGTACGAGGGAGAGGGAGGGAGGGAGGGAGGGAGGAAGGAGACTGCTCGGAGGCGGCGGATGGGGAGGAAGGGAACAACGGCTGCGGTAGCGCCAGCAGCACCTTGCGTGTGGGCGAAGATGTGTAGTTTTCCATCTCTGCCTCCCTACCTGAGCTGGCGGGGCTTCGCTGTCACCACAAGTCACAGAACAGCAGGGTGTTTTTTTTTTTAACATCCTCTCAGTTTAAGCAAAAAACTATCGATTGGGGGTTTAAAATATTTCTCCAGAAGAGCTTGTACGAGGGAGAGGGAGGGAGGGAGGGAGGAAGGAGACTGCTCGGAGGCGGCGGATGGGGAGGAAGGGAACAACGGCTGCGGTAGCGCCAGCAGCACCTTGCGTGTGGGCGAAGATGTGTAGTTTTCCATCTCTGCCTCCCTACCTGAGCTGGCGGGGCTTCGCTGTCACCACAAGTCACAGAACAGCAGGATCTTTATTTCTGATGGGGCGGGAAAGAAGGCTTATAAATAAAGCCATTTGAGAGCAGGAAAAACGAACACCATGGCTCTGGTGTGCCTGGAATTTGCGGTTGAGTAATCCTTTTCCTGTTTCTTTTTTGGGTTGTTTTTCATCTTTCAGAACAGTGCCTGAAGCAGGTCCACCATGCCGTTAGTAACGAGGAACATTGAGCCAAGGCACCTGTGCCGTCAGACGTTGCCTAGCGTTCGGAGCGAGCTGGAATGCATGACCAACATCACCCTGGCAAATGTCATTCGACAGCTGGGCAGCCTGAGTGAGTACCACGGCGAGCCTGCGCGTTGCCCTCAGGAGTCGCTAGTGCTCTTTATTTAGCTCCTCTTTCTACTCTCGTGTTCCTATTTCTCCCCCATCTGCCTTCCCTGGGTAATGCTAAAATGTTTTCCTAAAGAAATCTGATGCTAATTTCACAGCTCCGGTCCCACTGCCTTGCCATCGAAGAGAAAATGGGGAAGGGGGTGTGTGTGAGTGTGTGTGTGTGTGTGTGTGTGTGTGAGAGAGGCTGCAGCGAAACTGCAGATGGAAGGATGGAGCACAAGTCAGGCTTGTAAAATGGGAGGCTCTTCCAGCAGCCGGGATCTTGTGTCAGGGAATGTGCCTGTAATTGCACGCGCTACTAAATGGAGCTTGACTGTGTTGAATCTACACCGTGTCAGTAGCCTTATTTTTAATGAAAGATAATTAAAGCGCACACGCAGAAGCAGCCTGGTTGCCCCTGCTGTTTGGTGCCTTCCAAGACCCAAAGTCCCCAGGCTGAGCCAGGAGTTGCCTCTGGAGTATTGAGGGTTTGGGGCCGCTCGCTCCAACGGCAGCACGAGCCGAGGCGATGCTTAGCTCAGCTCTCCAGTGGGCTGACCAGTAGCCTTGTCAAGGCCAGGGGGGGAAAACGTGGGCCTACGTGCCACAGGAGAAGCGAAGAGTTAATTGTGGTCTCTCCGGGATGACTCCATAGTCTGTTGAAACGCTCTGGATTCTGATTAGCCACCTCTGCCCTTGAAGGAAGACTTTGATAATCAAATTAATAAGATTGTTTAGCTTCTCCATGGCGGCTGCAAGAGCTTCTGCCTGCTCTGCAGAGCAAGCCCCTTGTCTTCCGTGGCCAATGTGGCAAGGAAAGTTTGGGTGCAGTCCCTTTCCAGCAGTGAAAACCGTGGCTGTTGCTAAAATCTGGGCCCGCGTTCGCTGCCAGTCGGCGTCGCATTCTGTTGGGTTGTTGTAGAAATGTCACTGCACGGGCAAGGCCAGGCTCTCCGCTCGCGTTCAACTGGCCCTCGTCGTTCATTTGTTAGCTCTGGTAGCCAAGATGGTTGTGGAGTGTGAGCAAAAAATCCATCTCGTGCATGTGAAATGATGAGGAAGAAGGCAGTAAAGCTGCGCAAATCTCAGCTGCGGAGAAAGCTAATCCCAGCCCAAAGTCACGCAGTGGGTTAGTGTGATGGAGCCCTGGCGAGATCCTTCAGGTTTAGACCTTCTTTGTGCAGCTCAGCTCTTCCCAGCTTCTCTTGTTTCTACCTCCTCGGAGCGGGGTGAAGAGCTGGAAGCCAAATTGCAGCCCCGGTTTCTTTATGGGGAAGGTTCCCTGGGAGCCTGGCTCGGGGTGTGGGGAGGGAGGTGTGTGGTGTGGAACCCATGGCAGGTTCCTCCAGGAGAACTGAAAAGAGATACTTGTAGGCATTGATCTCAAGGGAGGGTTGAAGGAGGAGGGAGCCAGACTCTTTTCAGTGGTTCCCAGTGAGAGGACGAGGGGCAACGGGCACAAGTTGGAACAGAAGAGGTTCCACTCAAATATGAGGAGAAACTTCTTCACAGTGAGGGTGACAGAGCCCTGGAACAGGCTGCCCAGGGAGGGTGTGGAGTCCCCTTCCTTGGAGATTTTCAAGACCCACCTGGATGCAATCGTGAGTAACATGTCTTCACAGTGAGGGTGACAGAGCCCTGGAACAGGCTGCCCAGGGAGGGTGTGGAGTCCCCTTCCTTGGAGATTTTCAAGACCCACCTGGATGCTCCTGAGTAACATACTCTGACAAGCTCTAAGGCAATCCTGCTTCAGCAGGGGAGTTGGACTGGATGATCTCTATGGTCCCTTCCAACTCTAAAAATTCAGTGAAATTCAGTGAAACGCTGGAGGGAAAACTCAGGAGAGGTGGCTCTTCCTGCCACTTCGTGCTTGTCTCCGTAAGGGGAGCGAGGCAGGTGGGGAGGAAATGCTGAGCACTGGCTCTTCCCCCGCTTCCCCGGGGTCAGCAGGATTTTAAATGAAGCAATATTTAGCCTTAACTGCTTACAGAACGCTCGCACCCAAGTGACCAAACTCCTGCCCCCCTCTCCCCTCTCGTTCTCTCTTTTCCTTCTAAAAAAGAAACACTCTCCTTCCTCGTACGTTGAATATTACAGGAACGTAAAGCAGGTTCAGTAGGCTGTGACAGCCCTGTCAAGTGAATAATCAGCCATGCCTAGTGCACCACAGTCTCTTTACAAAGATGCAAACATAAATCTTGTCAAACTTTCATATTCCAGTGAGTTTACCCTTCGTTACTATCACAGCTGGTAGCACTTTGTGGAAGTCGACTGCGCGGTTCCGTGTGACTTTACAGAATCCACAAGCTAAAGATGGAGAGACCTATTAAATCACGCCGTCTGTCTTCCTGCCAGTGCATGACAAAGATAATTCTGATTGTGAGCTGCACTTTTGCAGTCAAAGTAACTAAACCAAAAAATTAATCTCTGCCTTACCCCATCCAGAGGTGTATGTGAAGCACAGAACGATGTGTGAGATGCTGGATGATAACTCTATATCCGTGCACTTAACACAGCCAAGGGAATACAGACCATCCCTTCTCCCTCCAGGGTCAAGGCTGCTACATAAAATGCTGTTTATATGTTGTTTTATGCTTGACACATACCACTAAGCATTGCAAACCAAAACCTTTATTCTTTTTCCTTTACTCTTTTTTTCTCTTTATTCTTTTTCTTCTTGCAGTTCCTTGTGAAATTCAGAAATTATTTTCAGTTCTTATTGAAGTAGACACCAAATTACAACTTTTTTTTTTTTTTTAAACTGTTGCTGGGGGGTGTCAAATTATCCCCCAGATAAACGCCTGCTCTCTTTGGTCAAATGAGAGTCTGATGTTGAACGGGGAGGGAGCTGCATGAGACCTGGCTGTAGCAAGAGTTAACTGGCCCTTAGGTTTCCAGAAAAAAAATCCTTCTCCAGAGTTTGAGAAAAGCTGGTTGGGCTTGTTAATGGAGCGTGCGTGGAGCCTGCATTGTGTAGGAGAGTGGAAGGAGGGAGGTCAGTTGAAGTTAACCAAGGGAATACAGACCATCCCTTCTCCCTCCAGGGTCAAGGCTGCTACATAAAATGCTGTTTATATGTTGTTTTATGCTTGACACATACCACTAAGCATTGCAAACCAAAACCTTTATTCTTTTTCCTTTACTCTTTTTTTCTCTTTATTCTTTTTCTTCTTGCAGTTCCTTGTGAAATTCAGAAATTATTTTCAGTTCTTATTGAAGTAGACACCAAATTACAACTTTTTTTTTTTTTTTAAACTGTTGCTGGGGGGTGTCAAATTATCCCCCAGATAAACGCCTGCTCTCTTTGGTCAAATGAGAGCCTTGTGCTGATGTTGAACGGGGAGGGGGCTGCATGAGACCTGGCTGTAGCAAGAGTTAACTGGCCCTTAGGTTTCCAGAAAAAAAATCCTTCTCCAGAGTTTGAGAAAAGCTGGTTGGGCTTGTTAATGGAGCGTGCGTGGAGCCTGCATTGTGTAGGAGAGTGGAAGGAGGGAGGTCAGTTGAAGTTAACGTCCAGCATTTGCCTTCTCTAAACACTTCAAGCTGACGTTGCCACCAAAAAGGGGGGGTGGAGGAGGTTGATTTTTAACCTGGCTGGTTCCCCGTGCTTGGCAGTGGAAAGAGAACTGCCCGGGAGCCTGCACAAGTAGCTGATACACCAGTTTAGAGCTGAAAATCTTTGTGCAGCTGGGCTTTGGGGAATGCCCTCGCCTTGCCTTGTGGAAGAGGCGCTTGTCTTTCTGACGTGACTCGCTGCAGACAACCAGATTATTATATTATTTTTTTTTTTCCCCCCAAATTGCTGTTAAAGTCAGGCTTCCAACTGGTTATCCTTTTCCTGAATGTCGGAGAGGATCTTGAGGAGTAACAGATTCCAGAACAAACTGTTGACCATATGATGATGAGCTTCAAAACCAGACTGCTTTATTGGGAGCAGCCTCGTACTCAACAGCCGGGGATGGGAATGTTTCCCATCAGGGGGAACTCCATAGGCCGGTGTCTGCTGTTGGTGCCAACTCCTCTTCCTCAGCATTGTCCTTGACTTGGTTCAGTCTCCCTTTCTTGGGTTATGCCCAAGATTCTGCCACTTTACTCTGCTCTGGTGAGACCTCACCTGGAGTATTGTGTGCAGGTCTGGAGCCCTCAATAGAAGAAGGACATGGACCTGATGGAGAGGGTCCAGAGGAGGGCCACGAGGATGATCAGGGGGATGGAGCACCTCTGCTCCGAGGACAGGCTGAGGGAGCTGGGGTTGTTCAGCCTGGAGAAGAGGAGGCTCCGGGGAGACCTAATAGCAGCCTTCCAGTACCTGAGGGGGCTACAGGAAGGCTGGGGAGAACCTGTTTAGAAAGGCCTGCAGTGACAGGACGAGGGGCAATGGCTTCAAGCTGGAGGGGAACAGATTTAGACTGGAGATGAGGAGAGGGTTCTTCACTGTGAGGGTGGTGGAGCACTGGAACAGGTTGCCCAGGGAGGTGGTTGAGGCCCCATCCCTGGAGATATTCAAGGAGAGGCTCGACGAGGCCCTGGGCAACCTGGTCTAGTTGGGGGTGTCCCTGCTGACTGCGGGGGGGTCGGACTAGATGGCCTTTGGAGGTCCCTTCTGGCCTGGGCAATTCTATGATTCTATGATTCTATGCCTTAGAGGAGAACAAAAAAACAGCACTTATTGAAAGTTCTTGGGTTTTCCTCTAGTCTTCCCATCTCTGTCCACCTGTGGCCAACTCCTGTTGCACGCGTGGGTTTGTAAACTCTGAAGGACAAGGAGACATCTTTTCATTTGGGTTGAAAGTGGTGGAGCCAGCTCCTCATCCAACCCCCTGGGTGCTCTCGCAGTCCAAACGAGGGCTGATATTTGTTGTTGCAGCCCACTGGGCAATCCCAGCTGTTAGAGAGAGAATATCCCTCCTTTGAGAAGTTTCCCTTTGGTTTTGATTTAGAAGAAACGTGAACGCATCAATTTTTCAGACACTGCCACCTGAAGGAACAAAAGGGTCAGTGCTTTCCTCTGTGGTTAGAGCTCAGGCTTTAGGATCAAGGACTGGGTCTGCTCTCCAGTTCCAGAGTACTTTGAGCTTGTAAATATGTGCCAGTTCCCCTGGAGGCAGGCCTGCTGGAGACTGGGAGCCTTTGAGATTCTCCAGAGCAATAAAAATCTAACTGTATTTGCTTGTCTAATAAACAGAGCAGCAGAGAATCTTAAAGGACCTACAGACCCGTGCACATTCAGACCAGTAGAGTGTTGTTGGCCCTCTTCATTTCCTTACTTTAGTAATGACTTGAAAGTATGTCTCTTTTTTTTTCTTTTTTTTTTTTTCCTTCATTGCTTGAAAATCCCTTGGAACTGTCAGGTTTTGGTGGAACAGAGCATTTTCTTCCTGGATGTTAAACTCAACCCAGAAAAAATTTTAAAAAAAGAAAACCCAAAACATGAGTTGGTTCATTCTTTCTTTCTTCAAGAAAACGAGCTGGGAGACTGGATGTGGTCTGATGTGGCTCACGAGGGTAATGTGGACACTTTAATATTGCAGGTAAATTTGCAGAAGACATCTTTGGAGAGTTGTTTACTCAAGCCAACACCTTTGCCTCTCGGGTGAGCGTTCTAGTCGAGAGAGTTGACCGCTTGCAAGTCAAAGTCACTCAGCTGGATCCCAAAGAGGAAGAAGGTAATGGAGTGGAGCGTGGTCCTTGCAGACCAAGCAATGGCAAAGGTTCTCCTTGAGTCATTGGGGTTGGTTCAGGGCCATAAAACGAGCGTGATGCTGCGATGGGCGTTGGAACGTCTTCTCTTGGACTAAGAGGGACTGTTTCCTCCCCTTCTAAAAAAAAAAAACCATGCTGCTCGTGTAGATAGTCTTTCTGGCCGAGTCTAGATTTGCTCCTTAGTAAGTCTCCCCGTGGAAACTGGCTTTTTGGCAGTTTGATAGCGATGTGCTCTGGAGTCTTGGTCGCAGGGGTTTGAAACCGCATCGGCAACTCTCCGGAGGGATGTGTCTCTACAGCAGCAGATCTTGGCACGGTGGGATCTGAGATTTGGGGGGTTTCCCAGGGGATCTGTGGGAAAAGGAACCTGACCTTAAGAAGTGCGAAGCGCACCAAGAACTCCCAACTGAAATCAGATGTTTGCTACTTGATCTTCAGTGTCGTTGGCCTGGGTCAAGCTGTTCTTCACTTGCTCTCTCCTCTTTCTTAACAGTCTCCCTGCAAGGCATTAACACCAGGAAGGCCTTCAAAAGCTCCACTACTCAGGACCAGAAGCTCTTTGACAGAGAATCTCTCCCCGTGCCTGTCCTTGAAACCTACAGGACCTGCAATACTCCTCCACCTCTCAACATCCTCTCACCGTACAGGTACGGACACGACACCTTCTTGGCCCCTTGTTCCCTTTTCCTCCCAACCTGCTGACGAGGTCATTTCCTAGCCCATGCTGTATTCAAGTAGCCATTTCCAATGGGGAATGGTGTTGCTAAACCGAGATCCACCAGGAAATCTCCCATCTTCTGGATTATGTGAAACTTGGCTTTTGGGGCTGTACAAATGAGCGTAGCTAGAAAATTATAGATTTGGTTACCTGCTGTCGCTTTTGTGAGTGCCTTGGGGCAAGGCTTGGCTTGGCACCGCATAAACAGGCGAGGTGTTGTGCAGATGATGCATTTTTCTTGTGTTTCTCTCTAGCCCTGTGGCTCCTTTCCAGAAAGCCGCAGTGCAAACTGCAGAGCCTACATCTGTAAATGGCTCTGGCCCAGGTGGGTGCAGCAGACTCCTGGAGATCTGGAGATGCTTTTTGTGGCCTTCTGTGCCCGCTCTGAGACATCCCATGTCACCTAGATGGGGCTGGGGAACGGGTTCTCTTGAGCGGTCCCTCTCTGATTTCATCTTGTTGGTAGTAGAAGTAAAAAAGGGGGTCAGGATACAGGGACTTAGCCCACATCCATAAATATCTTTTGAACAGGTAAAAAGTAATTACAGATAGCTGGAGGCAGCTGTCTTCTGCCAGACGCGGCTGCACTGCAAAGTAGGAGGAGAGTGTGTGTGTGTGTGTGTGTGTGTGTGCTCACTCAGGAGTTTCAAGGACGCCGCTTGGTCTGATTTAGGGTTCCTGGGTTGGAGAAGGGTTTGTGGTTTTTTTTTTTGGTTTTTTTTTTTTCCACGCCAAAAATACAACACAAACAAGTGGGAGTCGAAGTGAGAGACCTGCTTCTCTCTTGGTGATCGTTGGGAGCAGTTGAGCTCTTCAGATGCTGAGAAATGGAGGATTCGTGAGGGTAGAAGGGATGGGAGGCAGGACCAGGGAGGCCGTGGGTCCATTGCCTGTTAGAAAATGAAGGACAGAGGCGAGAGCAGCATGTTTGACCTTCTCACTGCAGACTTTTTAAACTGTCATCTGGGGCTGTGCCTCGTGTTTTCTTTGGGCTTTGAACAAATGCCTGACTTGGTCCTTGTTTGTGTGTTTTTTTTTTCCCCCCCCTCCCTGTTCTAGGGATGATGGCAAAGAGGCGCTTAAATTCTACACAGATCCTTCCTATTTCTTTGACCTTTGGAAAGAGAAAATGCTTCAGGACACCAAGGATATTATGAAAGAGAAGAGGAAACACAGGGTGAGGAAATGGGAGATCTCTGCCAACAGAGAGGCATTTCGGGGAAGAATAGGAGGTGGGAAGTGTTGGTGATTATTGGACTCCAAAGTTGCTATCTGAATTTCAGGTTTGCTCTCTTAAATTCTTTAGGGATCAATTCACTGAAGTTTTTATCTGGCTTACTCTCATCCTTGTTAATTAAAAAAAAGAAAACAAAGATACCCTTAATCTGTTTTTCCAAATGCCACTGTCTTGGTGTGGTTATAATGGCTTAATTTGTAGTCCTCAAACATAGGGCTGGTGCAGTCAGCGGGGGAGAAAGTTGTGCTGGAGTCTCTTTCTGCACCTCTGATGGTGCACGGGGGTCTGTTCAGTGTTGAAGCACTGCAAATCCCTCTGCCCCGCCACCGCCGAGTGGTGAGGGCTGTCATAAATTCTACTGTGGAAGAATAAAAAAAAAAAAAGAAGAAAATATCCCTCCAGGAGTGTGCGAAATCAGGCCCTAACGTTGAATTAGGGGCAAGCGGGGGGGCTTAACAAAACCATTTAAGCTGAAAATGCCAGGTAGAGTGCCTGGTTTGGTTCCCTGGGGGGTTTGGACTCGTGTTTACCAACACCAGAACTTCCACTGTAAAAGATTGGGTTTGAGAATACTTTATTTAGCTTTTGAGCAACTGGAGGAGTATTAAATATCAAACCCCGTCATAATTTTTCAATCAAAATGACAAAGGAGAGATTTTGGGGCGTGTCAGAATACAGAGAATGAGGCTTGTTCTCGTTCTCAAAGCCTCCTTCTTTGTGGGCAAGTGTCCAGATTGCACACCCAAAGCTCTTAACGCCACCCAGGTGATGGTGAGCTGTGGCAGTTGTGACACAGAGCCTAAAAACTGAATCCATGTGGGACCTGAACTTCCACTCTGCCTTCGAGGTGGTCGTGCCAGGGAGTAACGATGGCATCACATCTGGGGAAATCTGATGTTTTCTGTCTGTTTGGTTATTTTTTGATACTATCTGTGCTCCAGCTTCTTCGTACGGGAGATTTTTGGAGCTTTCAAATTAAAAAACCTGCCCCTCTTTGAGAGTGTATCATCTTGAAACTACTACAGGGCTGTCCTATCCCTCCTTATTCCCGGTGAGTTTAAAGCAAAATAAGGCTTCTCTTTGACTCCTCCTCCTTTTAGAAAGAGAAAAAGGAGAATCCGAACCGAGGAAACGTGAATCCGCGGAAAATCAAGACCCGGAAAGAAGAGTGGGAGAAGCTGAAAATGGGACAAGAATTTGTCGAGTCAAAGGACAAACACGGTCCTGCTGGGTAAGCAAGTCTGGGGGCTCCTCTGGGCTCCCTGGTAGGGG